GTCGCTGCTCCTCAGCCCCAGAGAAGCCAGGCTCAGGCTCTGCACCCAGAGGACACAAACTGAGGTGACCAGGAAGTTGGGAAGTCAGGCGGGTGGCAGGAAGTTCACTGGGGCCAGGAAGCTGAGAGGAGCAGCCTTTGGAAGGCGATCTGTCATTTTCACTGTCTTCAGTGTCCCCGAGGAGAGGAGGACGCCTCCTGTCCTGGCCGCTGAGGGACTGAGGTGAAGCCCCTCTACCAGTAAAGAGGATTGGGTAACCAAGGGGGCATGGCAGGTCCTTTGCTGGTGTCTGGGGACGGTTGGGTTTCACACGTCCATGGGGAAGCTGAAGAATTTGCCAGGCAAGGGACTCTGATGCTTGGTGTGGAGCCTTTCATGGATCCCCCCTGCGGCGGGGGGTTTCTGCCACAGCCACTTGTCCTCCTCTCTGAATCTCCCCACCTCACCCCACACCTTCCACTCCCTGCCAGTGACTCATACACCTGCTCCCTCATTTGTCAGGCATTTGTGTGGCACCTGCTGTATGCCTGGCAATTATGTCTGGGGCCTCTTATAATGAGCCCATCAAAGACATCCATCAGTGTCCCCATTTTACTGATGGCAAAAGTGAGGCTTGCAAGTTTCCATAACATGCCCCGCCCACATTCCTAAGAAAGAGTAGAGAGGAAAGTTAAGCCTAAATTTCTCTGAGTCAGAAGCTCCAGTACTTTCTTCAATGCCATGCTCCCACCTTGGGCAGATCAGGTGTGCGCCCTGCTGTACAGGGCATTCCGTCCATCCCCCTGCCCCTGGAGGGGACCCAGACAGGGCTGGGCTCATCCACTTCCCTGCCAGGCCAGCAGCCGCAGGTGGGTGAGGCAGACGGAGCTGTGGGATGTGTCCAGAGGGCCCAGAAGGGAGCATTTCAGGGATAATGAGCACTGCTACTATCATTATCAAGGTTGCGTACAGCCCGCTAGATTTGCAAGCTGAGATGCTGGCCAGCTGCCTCGTCCACCCGCCTTGGAGGCAGGGAGACTCCAGCAATTGGGGTGGAGTGAAGCGGGCTTCCCTGGTAGGAAAGGCAGTGGGCAGAACTGTTACTTTAAATAATGTTGCCATCCAGCCAGAAATAGGTCTCCCAGGCGGGGAGGAGAGCGAGGCTGGAGGATGGAGAGGAGGCGGCACCCCTCTCTGCCAGGCCACGGAGCGCCTGGCCTCGACTACAGGGGGACCAAAGGGAGGCCCAAGGCCAGTGGTCCTCTTCTGGCCTTGGGGGAGGGGCTGGCCTGCAGCCAGTTGACCTTCCCCGCGGCCCCGGGGCTTCCAGGCTGAAGCAAACAGACATACAGCCTTCTGCAGAAATCTACTTTTATTAAAGTTTAAATTTCACCACGCATCACAAATTTCACCACGCATCACTGACATCAGCAAACAAATCCGCATCCAGTGAGCCCCTGGTGTCTGTTTTATAATGTATACTTAAATTATATGCTCAAAGTGTATCTCCCAAAAGGGAGTTAACAGGTATCCATCGAGTATCCCCATCTGGAAGAGGTTTTATGTTTGTGTATCGTGTATAGGCAAATACATACATTTTAGATACTTGTATCATATGCGAATATACACATTTTACATACGTGTGATCATCTGTATGCAAATATATACAAATGTGTATACTATTTCATTTACCCACATGGTATCATACCATTTACTCTTTTTTTACCGTTTTGTTTTTTTTTGTGTGTGTGTGTGTGCACAAACTGAAGTTATTTTTATTGGGTCGATTTGCATGGTCCCTAAACATCAAACGAAGGGTTTGGTAGGCTGTGTCAGTACACAGCAGCTCACTGAGAGCCATAACCGTCCGTCATCACTCTGGTCCCTGACACTCAGCCGCGATACTGTGTGGCTTCTTCCTTCCTCGTGTCGTTCTTTCCGTAAGCATCTCCCCCTCTCCAGCTTCAACTTCCTTTCCGTGCTTTGTGTGTCTCGGAGACCATTCTGTCTCAAACAGACAGGTGCTCCTCGTTCATCCTGCGGCTGCAGCATCTGTAACTGACCCAGTTGCATTCTTGACGGACAACTAGGTTGTTTCCAGTTGCATGTTTATCTCTGCTGTTCGAAGCAATGCCATCTTGAGCATCCTTACACCTGTTGTTTTGTTTTTGTTTTTTTGCCACATTATGGCAGTATATCTATGAGGCTAGCTCGCAGGCATGCAGGCTGTGGGTCAAAAGGCTTACCTATTCTCATTTTGATAGATTTTGCCTGAGAGGCTGGACCACTCTGCACTTCTACCGGCTGATCTGAGGGCACGCCTCCCCCCCGCCCCCCCGCACCACTCTGGCCAGCACTGCATGTGATCAAACATGAAAGTCTTTGGCGTCTGATATCTGAACATTGTCTTGTTTTGATTGGCCTTTCGTTGTGGTGGAGGTTGAGCATCTTTTTGTTAGTTTTGGGGGCCATTTCTGTTCATATTCCTCTCCCTGCAGCTTTTTAATAATTTTGATTCCATTTTCAAAGATAGAGAGCCGTTCTAGCCAATCTTACCTTCCATCTCTCCTCTCCGGTCACCCCATCGTTATCGAGGCCCAAACCGTTTCCCCAAAGCTATCTCCTCCCCCTGCAGCCGAGGCAAGCAAGAGCGGTAATGGGCTTGAGGATGGGGTGGAAGGAGAACGGGAAATTTGCCAGAGCCTGGGCACCTGCTATCTCCCCTCCATCACACCGTGCGCAGTAACAAGGGACAGATAAGAACTGCAGCCGGTGGCAGAGATAAGAGGCTTGGACAACCAGAAGGTTCTGAATCATGCTGCAGAGCCAGAGCATCCGTGAGTCCCAGGACACAAGGGGGGGGCGCTTTGGAATATGACGTCGGTGTTATCTGGTTAGCAGCTGAGCTTGGGGTCAGGCGGGCTCTGTAGAACCCTGGCCCTGCCTATGAGACCACCTGTGAGACTGCCTGGCAGTGAGGAAACATTTCTGAACCTCAGTCTCCCCACCTCTAAAATGGGGGTGCTGATAAATGTACCCTCTCCAAGGATTACGTGAAGGACTCTCATATATAGCCCCACAGCTGTTTGCCCTTGTTCACCTATGACAAGGAAAATGAAGCTAGTATAGTGGGTTTGCATAAAATTTAAGTTTAAAATTTGTTAGAATTGCTTTTATGCTGAGGTTACATTTCTCTATGACCTCAAAATGTCCTTTTTAGATAAAATGCTGACCATTTCTGTTTATTTTTCTCTCCCTGCCTGGCACTTTTTAATATTATCTTTTTTAAGTTTTTGGTTGCTAGATTGTTTGTCTGTTTGCTTTTTGGTTGGTTGGTTTTAATGATCTTACTTGGCAAAGTAAAAAGTTGACGGTCTTATGTCAAGCCCCATTTTTTTTAAGTGTTACTGGTCCATGATATCCAATAGTCTGGGAACTGCTGTGTGAAATGAAAAAATGAAGGAAAAGTACTTAAGACCAGGCCAGAGGAATAGCTGGTGCTCAGAAAGTGGTAGTTGTTGTTTCACGGTCATGAGATGGTGATGATGGTGGGATGGTGGTGTTGGTGGTGGTGTTGGTAATGGTGGTGGTGATGGTGCTGATGGTGATGATGGAGGTGTTGTTGGTGCTGATGGTGATGATGGAGGTGTTGGTGCTGATGGTGGTGATTGTGGTATTGGTGGTGATGGTGGTGACGGAGGTGTTGGTGATGGTGGTGTTGGTGGTGATGGTGGTGATGGAGGTGTTGGTGGTGATGGAGGTGTTGGTGGTGATGGTGGTATTGGTGATGGTGGTGGTGATGGTGGTGATGGTGGTATTGGTGATGATGGTGGTGATGGTGGTGATGGTGGTGATGGAGGTGTTGGTGGTGATGGTGGTGATGGTGGTGATGGAGGTGTTAGTGGTGATGGCGGTGTTGGTGATGGTGGTGGTGATGGTGGTGTTGGTGGTGATGGTGGTGCTATGGTGGTAGTGGAGATGGTGATGCTGGTGGTGGTGGTGAGCCCCGCTGGAACTTGTATGAAAGAAAACTTAGCAACTCTTGAGAATAAGGTTGCTCTGTCCCAGGGTTGGCATAGCCTAGAGGCAGGTGGCAATGAGCTTGTCCACCAAGTCAGCTGGGCAAACCCTCAGACACCCAAGGATGGGGGAGATGTCCTAGGCACAAGCCCCTTGATCCTCTGAGGTCCCTACTGGGCCATCCACTGGCCAGGCACAGGAAAGGTGATCACAGAGTGGCTACCAGGGGAACTAGCCCCCTCCATACCAGAGAGCACCACTTGCTCGTGTCTTACCTGCCAGAAGTCCCTCTCCCCGACTTGGCCTGGCCTCCTCCCTGCCTCTCAGCCAGGTCAGTGCCCTGCACACCTGCTCTCCAGCTACCTTTCCCCCAACACCAGACTCTGCTGCCCTTTGGGCTAGTCACGTGCTCCCAGAGCAGGCTCCCAAGGGTCCTCCTCGGGTTTGTGCATCCTGGCCTCAGGGCCAACCTGTCCTGCTAGGAAGGCTCTGCCTTTTTCCTCCACAATACTGCAGTGGAACTGTCTCGAATGTTAAGGGCGAGATGATGCAAAGCATTAGGGGAAGCATGTGAACATTCCTGCCTCTGCCACCCCTATCCATTTCAGTTAATATTTACAGTACAGTCCTGGGCCTGGCCAAAATAGAATGCCCCCACCTTTCCCAGTCATGCAAGTCAGAGGCAAGGGAAGACAACCTCCAGCGGAGGACCAGCAGAGGAGGCCTGGTCACAGCCAGGGTCAAGGGCTCAGGCATAGCACCTCCCATCCGCGGGAAAATGCAGGCTACTCCCTAGGCACCTGAGCTAAAGCCTGGTTGCCCTTGGGAGGGACATTTCTATTGATAGGGCCTTCCTGTGACTCCAAGACGTGGCCAGAGAATCCAGAACTCCCTGGTGCTCTCCATTCAGGAAGAGGGTGACCTGGCAACCTTCGCCCTCTGATCCCAGTCTGACATGTGCATCCCTGCCTTGCTCACTGGCTCTCTCGTCTGCACCCTAGGTACATGATCACCAGCCTGGACCGCACCCACGCAGGCTTCTACCGCTGCATCGTGCGGAACCGGATGGGCGCCCTGCTGCAGCGGCAAACCGAGGTCCAGGTGGCCTGTGAGTAGTACGATGGGCGGCTTGGGGGCAAGGAGGGTCTGTGCAGCAGGAGAGGGTCTGCAGGGTCCCCACCTACCACCATGCTCTGGGCAGAGCCAAATCCCAGCCATAGCCTTCCATGCTCATTGGGTACTGACGGTGGCCCTTTCCGCCTATCACGGGAGTGCCCTCGTTTTGTGGTGGACAGGTGCTCTCAAGGCTGCACCGCTGACAAGTGACACACACATCTGCCGGCTCAGAGTTCAGCACTCTTTCCATGGGACCAGCTGCTTCTCTTTTAAAAGGGGGCCCTATCACCTGGTTCAAGGGCCTCCTCTGGGGTTGGCTGGGCCTCGCACTTGGGGGTCTTCATGATGGCCCACCTGAATCTCTCCAGCTATGACACTCTTCTCCGCAGACTTCCTGGTGCCCCCCCCATGACCTTAACCTTTCCATCCTCCAACTCACACAGTGCTGGAGCAGTAACAGCAAGCGGGTCCCATGATCTGCGGGGTCGTTGGGAGATGCCTCATGGTGGCACCATGACCCTAAGAGGGAGGGGCGGGGATGACGAGTCTGGGTTCCTGGAGGAGCCAGGTGAGCAGACAGTAAAGTGTAGGCCCCTGTAAGTCCCTTCACCAGTCCCTGGAAGGACTTTCTCAAATGGAAGAAGGGAAGGCAGCTTCAGAAGATCCCAAGTGCATCTCAGGGGCCAGGGCCCCAGAGCACCAGTCAACACCCTCCCCCTGAGACTCAGCGTCCCCTTCTCAGTCTTGCCCCACCATCCTAAAATAGCTGCTGTGCGCTAGAAATGAACCTCATTGTGGGCTGTTTCATTCTGGGTTCTTCCAGGGGCAGAGGTCCAAGGTGGCACAGTGGGACATGGGGGCGTGGAAAGCTTTAGTGAGCCTTGAAATTTAAGAAAAAAAAAAAAAAAAAAAAGGACACCTTCTCATCCAGAGCCTACAGGGGCTCGCCTCTGAATTAGCACAGGAGAGAGCTTGCTACTTGAACAGAAGTAGGGGAGAGAAATCTAAAAGGAAACCTCAAGCGAGGCAAAGAGTGTTGATAATAATAATGGAAAACAACCGTAATCAAAAGTGGAGGACGGAGTGTCTCCATAAATCAGCACTAAAGGCAACTCAGCTCACTCAGAGGAATGGAAAAGCCCTGAATTAAAATGATGGATCAGGGCACTGTCAGCGGCTGGAGAGCTCCCGGGGAGCTTCATTTAGCCGGTGCCCAGAGTCCTGTGGGGCAGGGGCAGAGCCACGGGCCAGCCTCCAGCAACTACGCGTGCATGCATATGCCCATGTGTGTGCAAGTTTGCGTGCGTGAGTGTGGGTTCATGCGTGTGTGTGCGAGTGTGTGTGTGTGCATCAGTCTGCTTCTTTGTCCCCCGCATGTGGGAGAGAACACGTGCACATGTGTGCATATGCACGTATCCGTAGATGTGTGTGCTTGCATGCATGCAAATGTGCACGCCTAGGTTGGTCTGCCTCTTTGCTCACCTTGGCGCTGGTGATAACATAGGTTTGCATGTCGGTGTGCATGCAGTTGGAAATGCCATCCGGGACACAATGTCCCCGACAGTCTAGGCTCGTCCAGAGAATTCCTTGAGCTCATGTGCCCAATGCACCTAGCCAAGTGCCTGCCCAGTCAGTGAGCGTTACTGCTGCAATTAATATTCTGTAGCATCGTGTTAGCACAGAAGAAACAGGCCACAGAATGGAAGGGCTCCTGGCACACACTGTTCTGGCCAAATGCAGAGCAGTGAGCTGACAGTCACACCTAGGCCTTGCAGTCAGCCCAGCGTCTGCCCCTCACCCGCCTCTCACAGGGGCGTCCCTACCCCGTCAAAGCCACGTGTCAGCCCGGGCTTCAGGAGCCTCTGGACATGGTCACAACCATCACTGCCCCCAGGTTCTATGGGGCTGCTGCTTAGCTGTGCCCGTGTGGCTACAGGTGGTCCCTGGCAGAGAGCAGGGGGGTACCTGGAAGGGCCCGAAGGACTGAATGCAGTGGGGAGGCCCAGGTTCACCCCATTCCTGACCACCAGCTGCAGCTCCCAGGCCAACCTCGAGAACCGCTCCTCAAACTGCACCGAGCCGCCTTGCTCCATAGCATCTGAAAGGAGAAGCCACTACTTTTGCAGCCCTTTGGACCTTAAGCCAGAGGAGTGAGGGGAGTCCTGGGACTCCAGTGGGCAGTTGAGAAAAACACTTATCCTGACAAGTTAATGATGGTTTCACCCCACTCGGGTGGCCACGGCGGGACGGAGAAGGGAAACCTCCCTATCCCCTCCCTTGCTGGACACACTTGTCTCATCTGGTGGGGGTCTCTCTCTCTAGTTATGGAAGTTGAAGAATTTGCTGTCCAACCTGACCCCCACCCCTCAAAACACCTTCCAGGATCCTGGGTGTGGGGAAAGGGGGACCTGGCAAAACCACCCCCACCCACCTCGCTCTTTCCCACCTGTTGCAGTGCGCACCATCCTCTCCCGTCCTTACCCCACAAGGCTGCCTAAGTCACACAGTGATGAGGTACCAGAGCAGGACTTGAACCCACAGCTGCCCGATTCCAAAACACCCCCCTCGCCACACTGCCATCTAAGGTCAGGAATAGAAAAATCAAAACAGATTGGGGGTGGGGAGAGAGGGCGTTAGCTGCTGAGGTCGGGGTTCCCATGGAACCCGGTGGGTGCTCTGGACTGTACTGTCCCATGTCCAGATAATGCCACAAACGGATGCTGCGTCCACCTAGGATGAACGCCATCTCCCACCACGGGGTCGGGGTGACGTGCTCTTCTTGGCTGTCGACAGAGGCGAGCAGATGAAAATGCTTACAAGTAGTTCCTGGGCCATGCCATGGGGGGGACGGGGGCTCAGGAAGTGTGGCTTCCAGCCCCAGCCTCGGCACTGAGTAGCTTAGGACTCTGGGCACCTGGTGTATGCGTGCAGGGGGATGGGAGGGGGCAGACAAAGGAAGAAGTATGGCCTCCATCCTCCTGGAAAGGTGAGCATGTGCCCCAAGACCCCTTGGAACAGACTCGGATTCCCTCAGGAGACGCCAAAGGAGATACGGCAGAGCCTCCAGAAGGATCCCTCCTTCAGTCTTTCCTCCGTGGGTTCCCAGGACAAGTCTGAGAGGCAGGAAGGCATGTGGTACGAGCCACATCTCGAGATGGGGAAACTGAGCCTCAGAGAAGGTAGAGGACAGCCCAAGGTCCCACAGCCAGCATTTCTACCTTCCACCTTCTCCTGCCTTGCTCTCAGGACACTGTAGGGTCTAGCCATGAACCGCCCCCCACCCCCCTCCCATTCAAATTCAAGCTCACCTCTCCCTACCTGTGTGACCTTGGGCAAGTTGCTTAACTTCTCTGTGCTTTTGTATCCTCTCCTCTTTGCATCCTGGAATAAACTCACCTTTCTCACTCTGGCCTAGCCACCATGTCCGCTCTCCAGAGCTGGGGCTACGGTAAGGCAAGTGAGGCACGGAGGATGCAAACTTGAAGGAGGCACTCCCCCTTGGGTACTCAACGTGCACTCACAGGACACCGATAGCAGTGCCTCCATAAAACTTCTACGTTTGCTCCCCCAGTCGCCGTCCAGGGGCTCTCCCCGCTGTGTGCCCTGCAGACCTGCACCTGTCTGTCTCTCCACCTGTCTCTTATACAGTCACACAGATGCCCACAGGTCTGAGGATGGGAAGGCAATGGCTGCTTCTCTGGAGCCCTCCATCTCTCCCAGTGGGTTTCTGCATCCCGGGGCGGGGGTGGGGGCGGGGGGCAGGCAGAAGGCTTTGCCCTGAGGGCTCCAGGCAGCCGGTTCCCGGTGATGCTGCCCTTCCAGGCTCCTTCCGGAACTGGGCCAGGCAAGACCCACCTCTGGCTGCCACCCCCCTTCCCAAAGAGGGACTGTGAATTGGGTTCTAACGAGAAATTAATAAGGCAGCTGTGCTAACAACTAATGATAATGGCAAAGTCGTTACAAAAAGATTCTTTACATGTTTTTAATTACAGCAATTAAGAGGAAGTCAATAAAACGTCCACCCCCCTCCCCAGCTCCCTTTCTGCCTGCACTCCCCACCCCCCGCCCCAGTCTCTTCTTTGTTTCTTTCAAGTTGCCATACATTGCTGGCTTGCAGCAAGCTGGCTGAATGGCTGAGGGGGTTAGGAGAGCCTTCCTGGATCAAGAAGCCTTCCTGGCTGTCCACATCCACATTCTGGGGGCAGCAAGCCCACCCATAGGCCACAGGACAAAGGGCCCCTGCCCCGTGTGGAAGCCACCTGTACAAGATGGGACATGAGGTTGGGGCGCCTGGGTGGCTCAGTCATTAAGCGTCTGCCTTCGGCTTGGGTCATGATCCCAGGGTCCTGGGATCAAGCCCCACATCGGGCTCCCTGCTCGGCGGGAAGCTTGCTTCTCCCTCTTGCACTCCCCCTGCTTGTGTTCCTGCTCTCACTGTGTCTCTCTCTGTCAGGTAAATAAATAAAATCTTAAAAAAAAAAAAAAAAGATGGGACATGGAGGGCATCGAGCCTGTTGCTGGGACTGATGCCCAAAATGCCACCAATGGGCCCATTTTTCTTAATGCTTAACCTGAGTGTGAGCATTGAATGTGGACTATTTAGGGGCCATCTACAGTTCTAGAGAACATGGCCGTGTCTTTTCGCCTGACTGTTTCATTCGCTCGTGCAGCAACTCTTGCTGTGGGCCCACCGCGTGCTGAGCTCTGTTCTAGGCGGTAAGGACACAGGCGACAAAACGGGGACACCTGTTCCTGCCCCCAGGAAAGTAGTAGGGTGCCATGAAAGTTAAAAGGTGAAAATATGATAGAATACAGAACATAGAAGGCCCGTGGAGAAAAATAAAGTGCTCTAAGGAAAAATGAGGCCAAGTTAAGAGGGATGGAGGCTGGGGCAGGGGTCCTATTTGATAGAGTGGCTGAGAGAGGCCATCTGGGGAGGGGACATTGACCAGAATCTCAAAAGAAGCAAGAGGATGAGTCACACAAAGGGAT